GCCAGCCTGCTGACACCATGGTACCCTTCTCACTGCCTCCCTTGCCCACACATCCGTCGATGTGATTCTTTCAATGCGCGGTGGCAGTTTTGCTTTTCGTTCTGGAACTGTACCCGAGTGCGGTCCGAGTACGGACCCGAGAGGTTGAAACATATTCCACCCGATGTCCAGGTACTCCTCCCGCACTCTCTCTCCCCCCTTTCCCATGCAAGCGAACATAACCACATTCTGGACATTGCATTCCTGGGCCTCCGACTTGCCAGAGGTTGCTTGAGCATTATTTGGAGACTCTTCTTGGGATCTCACGAAGGTTAGAGACAAGCCGCACCGTGCATGTGATTGCGGCAGTGTGCAACTCCCCAAACTGTAGAATTATGCATTCTAGACGCTTCGGTTAACCCCACCAGCCTCACAAAATGGAGACTCAGGAGTTCACCTCGGAAAATGCAGCCGTTAGCTGCAACAGTCGTCTAGGAGAGCCACAGACCGAACGCGTGGTCGGTAGCCACAGCGTGTCGGCCCCTCCCCCTCCTGGAGACCGGCAGGCGGACACCCATACTGCTCCCCATTCCCATCAGCGTCCCTGGGGCAGCATCGCACTGGGGACCGAAAATGCGCTCGAAAGCGCCGCCCTTCCTGGAGGCAGTATCGTGCCGACCGTTGGGAGCGCTGCAGAGGGCGCGCCCGCGCTCGGAGACTTTCCTCACAAAGTAGAGAGTCAGGAACTCGTCTCTGAAGGTGCGGCCGTTAGCCGCAACAGTCCCTTGGGAGAGCCACAGACTCGACAGGTGGTCGTCTGCCACAGCGTGCCGGTCCCTCCCCTCCTCGTGATAGGCGGACAGTCTTCCCTGCTGCTCCTCACTCCTATCAGCGTCCTCGGGGCAGTGTCGGTGTGGAGGCTGAAGATGCGACCGAAAGCGCGCCCCCTCCTGGGAACATTGCCGTGGCGACAATTGGGGGTGTTGCTGAGGGCATGCCCGCGCTCGGAGACGTTCCTCGCAAAATCGAGAGTCACGAGATCACCTCTGGAAGTGCAGCCGTTAGCTGCAACAGTCCCTTGGGAGAGCTACGAACCGAACGCGTAGTCGTCAGCCACAGCGTATCGGCCCCTCCCCCTTCTGGAGACTGGCAGGCGGACACCCTTACTGCTCCTCTCTCCTATCAGCGTCCTTGGGGCAGCATCGCGGTGGAGGCCGAGAATGCGCTCGAAAGCGCGCCCCCTCCTGAAGACAGCATCGTGGCGACCGTTGGGAGCGCTGCAAAGGGCGCGCCCGCGCTCGGATACTTTCCTCGCAAAATAGAGTCAGGAACTCGTCTCTGAAAGTGCGGCCGTTAGCTGCAACAGTCCTCTGGGAGAGCCACAAACGCGTAGTCGTCAGCCACAGCATGTCGGCTCCTACCCCTCCTGGAGACCGGCAGGCGGACACCCATACTGCTCCTCACTCCTTTCAGCATCCTCGGGGCAGTGTCGGTGTGGAGGCTGAAGATGCGACCGAAAACGCGCCCCCTCCTGGGAACATTGCCGTGGCGACAATAGGGGGTGCTGCTGAGGGTGCGCCCGCGCTCGGAAACGTTCCTCACAAAATAGAGAGTCAGGAGATCACTTCGGAAAGGTGCAGCCGTTAGCTGCAACAGTCCCCATGGAAGGGCCGCAAACCGAACGCGCAGTCGTCAGCCACAGCGTGTCGGCCCCTCGCCCTCCTGGAAGTCCGCAGGCGGACACCCTTACTGCACCTCGTTCGTATCGCCGTCCCTGGGGCAGCATCGCGGTGGAGACCGAGAACGCGCTCGAAAACGCGCCCCCTCTCCGAGGCAGTTCCGTGGCGACAGTTCGGAGCGCTGCAGAGGGCGCGCCCGCGCTCGGATACGTTCCTCACATAATAGAGAGTCAGGCGTTCGTTTCTGAAAGTGCGGCCGTTAGCCGCAACAGTCCCCTGGGAGAGCCACGAACCGAACGCGCATTGGTCAGCCACGGCGTGTCGGCCCCTCCCCCTCCTGGAGACCGGCAGGCGGACACCTATATTGCTCCTCGCTCCCATCAGCGTCCCTGGGGCATCATCGCAGTAGAGGCCGAGAATGCGCTCGAAAGCGCGCCCCCTTCTGGAGACAGTATCGCGGCGACAGTTCGGAGCGCTGCAGAGGGCGCACCCGCGCTCGGATACTTTCCTTGCAAAATTGAGAGTCAGGAGCTCGTTTCTGAAGGTGCGGCCGTTCGCCGCAACAGTCCCCTGGGAAAGCCACGGACCGACCGCGTAGTCGTCAGCCACAGCGTGTCGGCCCCTCCCCCTCCTGGAGACCGGCAGGCTGACACCCGTGCTGCTCCTCACTCCTATCAGCGTTTTTGGGGCAGCATCGCCGTGGAGGCCGAAAATGCGTTCGAAAGCGCGCCCCCTCCTGGATACAGTATCGTGGCGACAGTTGGGGGCGCTGCAGAGGGCGCGCCCGCGCTCGGAGACGCTCCTCGCAAAAATGGGGGCGCGACCGACAGCGACCCAGGGCGCTCTCGATTGGATGGCGCGCCGGACTCCTGGATGTGCGTGCGGGCTACAGACGGGCGCGTCTTCGCGATCGGCGCAGACGCTCCGGCCGACGCTTCCGAGGCCCCCACCCCCGGGGCAGACGGCCAGTATGGGGCCCACTACCTGGAGAGCCTGAGGCTGTCGTTGCACCTAGTTGAGGGCGAGACCGCGACGCCCCGCTGTGACTCCGCCCGCTGCCGCCCCTGGTGCGTTCGACCCCCCCCCCCCCCCCCTCTGGGGGGCCACGGGCCAGCCCTGCAGAGACAGGACGTCGAAGCCATCCGCCAGCTCGTCGAGAGAAGCCCATTCGCGCCCATTCGCCCTGCTTCCCCTGTAAGTGAATCCTCCCGAGTGGATGGCGAACCTCCGCCCCCCCCCAGAAGCCCGGGCCTAGCCAGAGAAGGCGACTTACGTCCCGGCGACAGAAGCGGTGTCGGAGAACGTGCATGCACCTGGTACAACCGGCAGTACCCCCACATCTGGCGATAGCCTCGCGGCGGCGGATGGGGGCGCGCCTGTGAGCGAGGGCGGGCGCCAGTCTGAAGGCGAACGCCAGCGAAAAGGGCCTGTTCCCGCACACCTCAGTGCAGCGTTCCTCTTTGCCCGAGCTATCGGCCCCTGCCTGGCGGCCAAGTGTGCGACCCGCGCCAGCCCGCATGGCCCCGCCAGGCGCCCCTGCCCCAGCCGTCGCGCCGCTCGACGCCAGGCGCGGCTCTTGCGGCGGAGCCCAGTTAATCGGAACTGTCGCAAACAGAGCTCGGGCGCCTCGTCGAGGACAGCGGTGCTGCCTCGCCGGAAGCCTGCGACCAGAACGCGTTGCAGCGCAGACAACCAGGCCAGGGGCGAGCGCGACAGAGTAGAGAACCAGAGCAGCATGCAGAGCAGGCGCCGGAAGAGCCCGATGAGCAGGAGTTGCCCGCCGCTAGCGGGGAGGGCGAGGGCGCCGGCGCGCGACTTGGAGCGCGGGCGGGAACAGGAACAGGCGACCGCCCACCGCCGCACCCCCCTGGCTGCCACTCCTCGCCCTGGCCCCATCCCTGCCTGGCCACGGCGCGAGCTCGAGCGCCGAGGGGTGACGGCAGCGCGGCCGGAACGCGCCCCCAGCGCGTCTGCCTGGCAGCGGGTGGACGCCCTGCCTGGCCTCCGCGAGCGGCGACTTTCCAGTCCCCCCGCCGCCCCCAGGTCGAAACCTGGCCCCCAGCGACGCCGGCGCGCTGGCGGGTCTGGCAGACGGCAGACAACAGGCGGCGGACGCACCAGCAGCAGCCGCAGCAGCGGCAGAAGCAGCAGCAGCCGCCGCGCCAAGGACCAGCCACCGACCACCCCGCCCTGGGTAGCGAGGCCCGCCGCGCGCCAATGGCCAGAACCCGTCGACCCCGACGCGGGACGGCAGCTGTGCAAAGCTAAGGTTGGCGGAGTTGGGCCCCCCCGGAGAGACCCCTGGCAAGACGATGAAGCGGCTTCAAGTCACCCTGGGGGCGATGTTCGCAGGCGCCGGGCACGCGTTCGGCGAGCAGCTCGCCGCGCCCGGCACCGGTGGCGCGCTCGACCCGCTCCGGCACGACCAGCGAGCTTGCGCCAATTTCCTGTCCTCCTTCTGCAGCTACAATTGCGATGTTCGGGCCATGAACGACGCGCTGGACCTCGGCGTTGACTGGGCTCAGCTGCGGCAGCGATACCTGGGTCGTAATGGCGGCGGTGCGGGCGGGGGGCGCCGGGCGGCGAAGGGCCGCGCTGGCAGCCGCGCGCTCAGGAAGGGCATGAAGCAGTGGAAGGTCGTCAGCTCTAGCTCTGCGGGCGCGCCTGCCCTTGTTTCGCACTGGTCACCCGCCGCCCCGCCCTCACCTGGCTTTGTGGTCGTTTGCCTCTTGCGTTTCCTGTGGCCCTGTCCTCTTGCAGCTGCGCCCCGCTGAGAGCGTTCCAGAGGTGCCTGGATCGTCCCGGTCGGCCCCTGGGGGGCCGCAGTCGCGGCGCCTCGCGTTTCTTCCCCTGCTTGTTCCTGAACGACGTGTCCACGTGCAAGGGCTTCCTGGGCGCCTGGCGCAGATGTGGCTTCGACGCCTGCGAGGTGGATCGGCAGCTGGGGCTCGGAGGCGCCTGGCCTGCCGTGCGTGAGAGGCACATCGGGGCGTTTTCAGGCCAGGGGTCCCATCAGTCATGGGGGTGGAGCTCCGACTCCCAGCTCCAGTCCTGCGTCTCCTGGGTCTTGTGAGGGGTGGTCCTGGCGCGGCTCAGGGCAATCCTGGCGCGACCGCGATTGGCGCGACGGAGGCAAGAGAGGCAGATGGAGCAGAGACCGTGCAGGCCATGACGGCAGGCGGTCCAAGTGGACGTGTTTTTCCCTGGCTCAGATGTTGGATGCGTCAGAAACGTCTCCAGAAGGCGTGGCCGTTAGCCGGACACCAGAAGCCCGAAAGTGCGGCCGTTAGCCACCTTTGTGCCAACTCCCACCTCCTGGCGTCTTGCCCCCCCCCCTCCCCC